CCCCCTATTCCCTTTCTTTATCACGTATAGCCTAATATCCTCTCAAAGACTAGTGTTGAGGACAAGAAGAGAGCAGAGAGCGTCAGTTTACATTCATGCAACATGCAACTCCATTCAAAGTACAAAGACTGGAATCATAGCTTAAAAATGCAAAGCCTTGAATCACAGCCTATTCTAGGCCTAGAGTGTGGTGACAAATTCGTGGTGCAACTTATTCTGAAATATCTCTTTAGTTTAACGAGTGAAGCAACGTCACACACACTTTGTAGAAGAATTTGTATCAATTCGCCATACCTTAATCTTATTTTTTCCCCTCAACAATTCAGGCCAGATTGACAAACGTTTCTTTATAAATTTATACAAAATTACTATAGACTATAAATCTCCGTCACTGGGAAAAAGGGAATGTTTACAGCAATTCCCGCTTCTCACACACATTTTACATACGCTTATGTGTGGCCTACGTCACAGTTCACCAATGATACTTTTCAGGGGCAAAACTTGTTACATGAAATTAATTATATATAGTGAACCCTTTTTCCCCACTAAAGGTTCCTCAAATACACGCTCAATACATAATGTAATTTTTTTTTAAAGGACGGACTTGCTTTTAAAAGTGATATTGTCCCAACAGTAAACCTTTTAGAATCCACTGGGAATGTCTGTTAAGACAAATTGATACAAGTCATTGCGCAAAAGCAGAATTTAAGTTCAATAGTTGAGAAAATATTAAAATTTAACACTAAGTTGCATGACGAATTTTTCGCAGAACTACAGCCATGGCCGCCGCAGCGCGCCGCTCTTTATTGAAGGTGTTCGCCTCTCATTCAACAGGTCCCGGTTTCGAATCCGGACCGCGACAGGAATTTTTCTTCTGTAAAATTATCCAAACGCAATTCGGCTTTGCTCCTGACAAGGGGACCAGAAATGTTATATTCACCTTAACAATGTTAATGGGAAGATGTATTGAAGCTCCGAAAGATCTGTATTTATGCTTCATAGATTATACAAAGGCGTTGGATAAATTTAGACATGGTGAGCTATTTAGAATACTGGAAAAGATAGACATAGATGAAAAAGATCTAAGAATTATCAGAAATTTGTACTGGGACCAAAACGCTGCTGTACGAATTAATGGAGAATACAGTGAATATAAGCAGATTAGGCGAGGAGTAAGGCAAGGATGTGTTATGTCACCAGACCTCTTTAACATGTACAGTGAAACAATCCTTAGAAACATAGAAGAAT